CACAAGAAAGTCAAAGACTATTGATGATATCAGGATTAATGCTTAACAATTAAAAAATAAAATTTCATATTTTAATTAATTTGGTTCGATTTTGAAGGGTGAAAACCAAAACGAACCAAACGACTACAATTAGATTCAGTTTTCTATATTCGGTTTAGGTTTTTAGCAATTCGATTTTATTTGGCTGCACTTCAATTCAATAGAATGAAATGATCTCATAACACTCGATACCACCGCACAATTGTACAAAACTTAATTGGACAAAGGTATATCACATGGTTAGCTTGTAGTATAGCCTTTGCCCCACCGCATGTTACGGCGGTCCCCGGAACTGTTTGGCTTTTGGCGTAAGTTCAACTCTTGCTGTTCCATAGATGTGCCAAGTGTTCAATCTTCTCCCTGAAATAACGGTGAATCTCCACCCGTGAACTTCCATCCATGTAACTGTGTTGAAGAAGCAATCATTAATCGGAAAGTAAAAGCTCTTCGGAATTTCAAAATAGGAATCCTTATGTTTCCTTCCCAAATCACTACTAGGAAGAGAGCTATTAGGAAGGAAATAAAACTCTATCTAAACTACAAATATTCCTTTCTGAATTGGTTAGCAAGGAACTTGGAAACGAATGTCATTCCTTTGTAAAACCTCCCTCTCTAAATTATTTTCCTACATATATATTTCTTTCTAATGCTCCAGGGACCACAGAGTACTAAACCCTTTACGGAGGAAATGGGTTCCTTTCAGAATTCTTACCCTACCAACTGTATTATAACTTGAGAGGAAATATTTCCTTTCAAATTTTTTTATATCGTTAATTCAGGGACGGATCTCCTTGGCGCACCACTTAGAGCATCTCCAATGGGGATGTCTATTCTCTTACACACTCTTACAATTGGGTCCCATTTTTTATCTCACAAATTTTATGTGTAGGACCTACATATCTCCATATTTATTTTCATTTTCATTTTTTTATATCACTTCTAACCCACTTTTCATCCACTTTTGTTCATCGATTCCCGTGCAATGTCTATTTGTAGACATTGTCATAGACATTATCTACAATTTACTCCTATCTCTCTCTTCCTTTTCATTTTTCCATACACATCAATTTCTTCATATTAAATTAAAATAATCATTCTATCTCTATCTCTCTCCTATGCCACGTAGGATAGACTTTACTCCAATCCACTACCCCATTGGAGATGCTCTTAACTTGCTGGGCGCACCTTTTTTTGCTGATTGTTGGACAAATTTGTCTCCGTTTCAAATTTCAACTCACTGGTAGAACGTCGTAGCTCCCCCAAACTCACTCTTACACCATTTGTAGTGGCTAAGAGACCAAATTGTTAAAAATGGACTCCGTCGATATGAAAACAGTGTTTAGACTCCCATTTTTTTACATTTCAGCATCGTCAATAAAATACACTCAGCATATATTTTCACCTATCAATTTAGCAAAACATTAATTAAATTATTATAAGTAATGTTTTGCTTTTAATTTTTTCGCTGAATAATTATGAAATAAATAATACATATTTCGATGTAAAAATAAATAAATTTAATTAAAATTTTTAATTTTTTTTGGTTAACAAAATATGAACTTAGTTCAAGTAAAGTTCATTTATGGAATATTCAATTGTTTGTGAAGGCTCCATGAATTAAAAAATTGTGTTTCATGTTTTTCCGAGGTTCAAGAAAACTTCATCAGTTAAAACTTAAAAAAAATCATTTAATATATTACATATTGGTATCATATGAAAGATCATAAAAATTTATGAATTTTGATATATTTTTTGAAAAATTTGGATAAAAAGTAAAAAAGTTATACAAGTTTAAAAAAATTTGGGATATTATGATGCAACGATGACATCAGCATGACATCATCCGCTCAAAAAAAAGCAACTGAGGACCGTCCATTCTCTTCTTTTTTCTTTCTTTTTCTTTTCCCACTCCTCTTAACCAACCCTCTATATTTAACCTCTTCCATCCACTTTTCCATTTTTAATACCTCTTTTAAACTACCACTACACACAATTAGGAGTCCAAAAATTATATATTTAACTTTTTAGACTCCTAATACCTCACCACTCCAAATGGTCTTAGGCCTCAGCACGTAGCACACCAAATTCCTTGCAATGTTTTTTAAATTAAAATATGTCTTCATATTTTCTTAAATTTTGTTTTAACTTTATTTTTATAAAACGATTATCTTTTAAATATAAACAAAATCTTCATATAGAATCATGATACAAATTCTAACTACCATGAAACAATTACTATATAAATATTTGTAGCAAATTATAAATTTATAATGGGTGATGAATATGAAGATTATCCAAAAATAATAATCTTGACTTTCAGACTAACGAGATATTTACTTATCTCAATTTATATTAAGGGGAAAATAAATAATATACCCCAAACTTTGTGTTGGTGTGAGCTCCCTACCCCGAACTTGTCCTAGTTTAAAAAATACCCTCAACTTTATTTATTTAATTTTTTTGTACCATATTTTGATAAACAAATAATATTTCTCAAATTATAATATCTTTATTAGATTTAGTTGACAAAAAAGATGTGTGATTCCCAAATTAATTTGTGCTTATGGAATTAATTAAATAACTTTAATATCTCCAATTGAAGTACAAAAAAAATGTTGATTAATCTTTTCTTACCAACTAAATCTAATTAACATATTATAATTGGAGAAATATTATTTGTTAATTAAAATATGGTATAAAAAATTTAAATAAATATAGTTGGGGTTATTTTTTAAACTAGGACAAGTTCGGGGTGGGGATCTTACACCAAGGCAAAGTTTGGGGTATATTATTTATTTTCCCCTTATATTAATCACTTCATCTGTCCCACTAGCTGTATTTCTATTTTTTGTTTTGATCTGTTTCATTAAGTTTGTCGATTACAATGTTACTTATATTTGGGTGGTCACATACATTTTTTCATTCATCTTTTTATTGAATATGTCCTTTATTCTATTATCATATAAATATTAGTGACATTAATCAAACATAGGGAGCGCAGATCGTTTCTCCTAGCCTCCTAGGGCAGCCGCCTCTAGGCTTTTTTTCCGAATTCGATCATATTGATCGAAGTTCGGTTGTTCTTGTTCGCATATCTGGCCGCGGAGCAGTGGTCTGCTTTTGGCTAAGGTAGAGCGATAACGAGTTTTTCTCTCTAGGGCTTTGACTATGTCGGCCGCTGGAGCCTTTTTCCGATTTTGACTTTATCGAAGATCGGCTTTGTTATCCCTTGGTCGATGGTGCTCGACTGGAGTCCAGGTCAGACGCGGAGGGCGGAGATCGGTGGAGGAGGGCAGATTTGTTGTCATGGCTCGAGGAGATCGGCGTTGTGGTCAAGGTTCGAGGATGCGGCGTTGCTGTCGTCATTGGAGAAGATCGGCGCCGCCTGTCCGCTTACTCTGGTCGCACGGAGCAGGGATGAGTTTGGTTATGCAGGGACGAAGGATTGATGCATGGTATTTGGTAGCCAAAGGTCATGCAGGATCAATTAGCATGGTACCAGTGGTACGACCTCCTCCTGAACCCCCACCATGGGACGCACGAGGTGCTAGAGTTCGTGAACATTTTTCTTGTAGTTTTTATCTGTTTGTTATTTGTTTTCTTGCGTCCATTTTTGTTGTTGGGTTTGACAATTTGTTTGAGTTTTTTGTCTCTCTTTATGTCATTGGGTATGGTTGGATCTATGGGAATAGTTTTGGCTGTGTCAAGCCCACTACATGGTTAGCGATTCGTGTTGCTCTCTCAAGGGTGACCGTCTCAAAGTCTCACCATATGGTTACAGTTGTAGTTGTTGGAGTTTCAGTTGGTGTCTGTTTTATTTTCTCTTTGCTTGATGTAATGATCCTGATGAATCTTTTGATATGAATAGAGGCATGTTTTGATGATAAAAAAAAAAATATTAGTGACATTACCGAGGATGATCATTTAATGAGAGTTGTTTCAATCTCATACCAGACTAGACGTAAAGAGATTGACTAGACAAGATCAGATTTCGATGTTTGTATAACACATAGAATGATTATCTAACGAATCCGATCAGTTTATACCAAACTTAAACGTATCAAACTAGATCAATTCATACTCAATCAGACTATATTAGAAAATTATAATCCAACTAAAAACCTCTTTATTCGTGGTATAATTATAAATTAATATCTCCTAATAAGAAAGATAAAAAGATAAGATATGATATAAAAAAAATTAAAGCGAAAATAATCTATATTTATAATAAAAAATATATATTTTTCAATATATGTATCATATAAAAGATCATAAAAATAAAAAGTTGTTCAATTCAATATATTTTTTTCAAAATTGAAGAGGAAATAAAAATAGTATAATATTTTATATATAAAATCGTTCGACCCATTTTATGAAAAATGTTATTTGTACTTCAGTTTAAATTGGGCAATTTTGAGTCATCACAAAAAATTACTCCGTACCCCGTACTTCTCTAGACTAGACGTGGCAACGTCATGGGGGTTTGTTCCTAATTTTAAGAGGCCTGCTAGGGGTACACACTTTTTGTACACAAAAAGTGTACACTCGTCTGTCCCCCACAGACAAGTTGTCTGTCGCGAGATGAGTTGTCTGTCCACAGACAACTCATCTCGCGACAGACAACTTGTCTGTGGGGGACAGACGAGTGTACACTTTTTGTGTACAAAAAGTGTGTACCCCAATCTTTTTTCTAATTTTAATGGACTAATTCTACCGTCCAAATAGAAATTTAGTTGAAATAAAATGGAGGTCAAAATGGTCTAACTAAGGTGCGCCTAGCAACATTGAGGGTGCGCCTAGCAACCCCATTCAGGGAGGAAAGAGTTCCTTTCAATATATTTTACTTTATTCAATTTTAATAACAAAATGTATTATCAAACAATTATTTAAAAAGGAATTTTATTCCTGTCAACTTTTAAAAGATCAAATCAATACACACGCACACATGGTTATATATAGTCCGTATATGTAACCAATCAGTTCCCTGTTAAACCACTTCTCAAATGCATAATTTTTAATTATACCTAAATAAGCAGTAAACAATAGCAATTGCATATTTTAACTCAACGAAATCCAAAATATAATCATGAAGTCAATATTCAACACAATAACAACTAACAAGCACATACTGAATCACAAAAACAACATATATTTGGTTTGAAATACAAAGACTAAACATGTTCATCTTCCTCATCTTGGCATGCATTGTCTTCCTGATTAGGGCCATTATTCTTCATATTGAAGCCTTGTGAAGTTTGTGGCATTAGCATACTCATGAAGGGCCCAAATTGAGGTTGTTGAGGAAGGACATTAATGTAGCTAGGTTGCTGGTGAGGAAGAAAACCCATGACGGAACTGTGATGTATACTTTGGGGTGGAAACATATTCGTAAAGGTACCTTGTGCTGATTGTTGATGCATATTCATAGAGCGTTGCAATTTTTCAATAGTAACTGATGCAGATTCCTTAAACTCCATCAGCTCTTTGTTTGATTCTCTAAGCTCAATGTTGGACCTTTCAACTTCAGCCAAACGGTGTTTCCATACAGTGTCATCATATGACGGTTGCTGTGAAGGAACTTCAGAAGTAGATGTGCTTGGGAAGTAGAAATCGCTAGCTGAACCAAAACCTGATACTCTTCCACCCTTTGTATGTCCGCCAGCGGCCTCCAACAACTCTTTAGCATTAGCATTTGTGTCTTTTGACTTCAGTTCCTCAAACGATTCCTAGACATGAAATATAATATTAAAAGCATATTTGTATAGGACTACAAACTGCCATTGGGAACAATGTAATGTAAATTGATCACTAAATAAATTATACGAGGGACAAAGAAGTAAACAAAAATAGTAGATACAAATTTAATACCTGCCATATCACTCCAAAGGGATTAGTACTCCAACAACAATGAACAACCATTCCAAACAATTACATTAGTTGTTATCACAATAAACAACAGTAACACGGTTATTAGAAAATTACAACAATAGGACACATCTGCATCATATTTGTAAGCTATTGAAATAATCATGATAGGTCTCAATACTAGATTTAATAATAATGTATTTAATAAAATATGTATAGTGCTATAGTACACTCACATAGACTTTCTGAGCTTTGGGGGTCACAAATGAACCGTCTTCTTTCTTCGTGTGCGTTTGTAAGAACATCTTATCTGGTTCTGCAGACACACCATGCTTTGCCTCCTAAATACAAATTTAGTTCGACTAATCATTTAAAAGTTAGTTAATGTTAATAAAAAATAAGTAAACTGAATTTTTATAATTGGTATTCTTACATATCTTCTACAATGTTCTGCAAGGGGAATAGATCCTCCTGTGTGCAAGGTGATTCCAACATCAGAATTTCTATTTTTCTGATTAGTTTCACACTTTTGTATGTACTTTATGTCACCCCATTTGACAAGCAATTGAGTCCATAGTGACTTAATTATCCAATTTGGCCGTTTTTTTACTTTCGGACAGCAGACAAAGCACGTGATAACCCGGCAGAACCTTTACTATTAAAGTTTTTGCAAATGCGATAATTATGTTCCGGCCTCCATGTATACCTTTCCTACAAGTGTTATTTTACAAGAACAACAACAACATTGAAGCTTCATTCACAAACAATTTAAATTGAGTAGCTGAATTAGTTGATGTATTAGGAAAGTTTATAAATATGACATAATACCTTAAATAAATTCAGCCAAATATTTTTTAATTCGGGCGAAGCTTTAGTATAAGAGAGAATTGGCTCGTCAAATTTTTTCTTTAGGCATGGCATAACATATCTGTCACGCCCCGGACCGCATCCGTGCCACGTAGACAACCGCCGTACAACCCAATAAGAACAACGTAGTTCATTCTTATCAAATCATACAAGGCGTCCGAAAGATTCTATTGCCAAACCGATTAGTAAACCCATACAATCAACATCAATATATAAATCAAACACATGCGGAAATAAAGTATGTTTGACATTTAGCCACACGTGGCAAACATGAGCACGCAGGCCCTTCAATAGTTTAATAGAAAACATCGTTCAAATATCCATGAGCAATTTCATAATTTCAAATAAGAATGGAAGCACGAACCACGTCTTCCTTATTTGAGTTCACCCTAGGCAAAGGTGCAGGTAGCAGGACTCTAGCCTTAACCTGAAAAAATGTGAGGGCCCCCGAAGGGGTCAGTACTCCATAGAAGTACTAGTGACAAGCAGGCTATATGAGGAATAACTAATGTCTCAGACACGAGACCCAAAAATAGGATGATACATATATTTATAGGTGTAACCATTGTCACCCCATTCCCAAGATAATACATACTGTATATACTTGTAAAATACTTGACCCGTAGGTCGTTTCATCACAAAGAGTCTTTTAGAGATAAGGTTCTTCCCCAACCTATCCCCTTTCCATTCCTGAATGCCTAGCTTGAGAGCTACATTCTACCTTCATAATATCCTACCGAGTTTCAGGAGTGTTTACCCTCCCGGGGATGCTCAACCCCACCGAGTTTCTGGGATTGTTTACCGTCCCGAGGATACTCAACCTCACCGAGTTTCTGGGATTGTTTACCGTCCCGAGGATACTCAACCTCACCGAGTTTCTGGGATTGTTTACCGTCCCGAGGATACTCAACCTCACCGAGTTTCTGGGATTGTTTACCGTCCCGAGGATACTCAACCTCACCGAGTTTCTGGGATTGTTTACCGTCCCGAGGATACTCAACCTCACCGAGTTTCTGGGATTGTTTACCGTCCCGAGGATACTCAACCTCACCGAGTTTTAGGATCGTTTACCGTCCCGAGGATACTCAACCTCAACCTTATTTCTAACCAAACCCTAACCTGGATATGGCTAACTTTGCATTCACTTAACTATGGACAATACTTAGTCCTATAGTCATATAATAATCCTTAGTAACCAACGTGGACGGGTCCCACCTGATCGGTCCACGTTAACCTACTCAAAAACTACCCGTTTTGAGTATAACTCAATACTCGATCGAGTACCCACCAATACTCGGTCGAGTACAGGAGACAGGAGCCCGTAAGGCTAATTTCCAAGGCATACTCGATCGAGTACCTATCCATACTCGATCGAGTATAGGAGGCAGCAGCCCTTGGAGCCAATTTTTCAGCAGATACCCGGTCGGGTATTGTAGTTGACTTGGCGGTCAACGCCCGTTTGACCACCCAAACGGAGTCCGATTAACGTGAAATTTTACATGCATATTCTACTTGAAGTCCTTGATCCAAAAATACCATTTTTGACTCCTGGATCATTGTACATAATAAGTTATCACATTGTTAATCACCAAACATACAAAACATGCCTTTCAACTTTGTTTTATATATAATCATGGCATAAGCCCATACTTGATCAAACTTAATCATTCCGTAAAACATATCCTTGATTACCTTAGGTAATCTCATGCCTCAATCAAAAGTTATAAAGCATATAGCCGTCTTCTCACCTCAAAAGAAGCTTATGAAGTTCTAGCCTTTCTTATTGAGCTCCGGTGAAACTCCGGTGAACTTCAACGAACTCCGGCGACACTCCGGCGACCCTTTCAACTCCGTGAAAGTCCTTGAAGTACCTTATACAAGTTAACAACAAGGTTTTATCATCATAAAACCCATATCAACACAAATAACCTCTAAAAGGTTATTTTCCGACGAACCGGTCAACCTTGTTCTCTAAATCCGTTTTGGATATGAACCAACCTTCCAACCCTTCATTCTTCCCATATAACATGTAGAATGGTCCTAGGGGTGTGAAATATGATCATATAATCATATTGGAAGGTTAATGAAGAGGGATGAGATTAATGGAGTTATTACCTTGTTAATCCTCAAGTTTTCCTCCTTCTTTCTCTTTTCTTTCCCCTCCTTCTTCTCCTTAAGCTTTGGTTCGAATATGGTGGATGAAAATGGAGATTTTGATGAGCTTATCTCACTTGGTTGATGCTGGATACGAATGGGATTAGTTGGTGTGATTGAGAATGCCATTTTGGCATCTCTCACAATAATACTATGGCAAGGGTCCCACCTTCCAATTGATTGAGCTCTCAATCAATTTTCCTCCTTGTTTCTCCATGTCCTTGTGCGGCTCCCATGGGCATTTGCAAGACTAAAACGTGGGGATGGCCCCCACTTAGATGGGTGGTCATCCCTTTGTGTCCCCGAGTGTACACTCGGTCCCGAAAGTTGTATTTTCCGGACCGTTTTAACTATGTTTCATTTTAATCGGGTAAAATGAAATATCTATCATTCTTCCAATTATTATTGGATGTAAGAATGAGTGTACATCCCCCAACTTTTAATTTAGCGGTCTCCATAATTTATTATGGCTTTTATCTGTCAGTACACCGGTACCGATAAATGGGCTTTATTTGCCAAAAGGTTACTCTCATAACTTCTATGGCCCAACCAGGCTATCCACCATTATACACATATTATCTTGACCCAAATGAATATAATATGTGGTCCCAATATTATCGGGCGGCCCCCCACTTCCGGTGTGGGCCCCACGTAAATTTTACTATTCACGTAAAAGAAAGGATACAAATTCACAATCACGTAAAATGCGTTTATTCATTTCTTGGATTCAATACATAATTTGATAAAGTACAAATACTTGGGGGCGGTGTTACAAGTTCTACCCCCCTTATTTGGGATTTCGTCCCCGAAATCCACGTGTCTAGTCAAACAGAAATGGATACTGTTCCCTCATCAGGGTCTCCACTTCCCAAGTTTGCTCCTCGACACGATCACTCTTCCAAAGTACCTTCACCATCGGTACCTCTTTACTCCTTAGCTTCTTTACCCGTCGGTCCATGATCTTTACCGGCTGCACCGCATAGTGAAGGTCTTCCCGGATTTCTACCGGTGGTTTCTCAAGAATATGTGACGGGTCCCGTACATACTTCTTGAGCATAGAAACATGAAATACATTATGAATCTTTTCTAATTCTGGAGTTAACTGAAGCCGGTACGCTACAACCCCAATCCTTTCAATGATTTTGAATGGGCCTATGTAGCGTGGGTTAAGCTTACCCCGACTGAGAAACCTGATGATCCCTTTCCAAGGTGACACCCTCAGAAAAACCTCGTCGCCGACCTCAAACTCCAACGTCCTTCGACGTTTATCAGCATAGCTTTTCTGTCGATCTTGGGCGGCCTTCAGTCTCTCCTGAATGACTTTCACCTTCTCCTTGGTGATCTCAACTAGCTCAGTACCCTCGAGCTTGGCCTCGCCAACCTCATCCCAACACAAAGGCGTCCGACATTTCCTCCCATACAATGCCTCGTATGGGGGCATGCCTATACTCGCCTGATAACTGTTGTTGTAGGCAAACTCCACCAAAGCCAACTGGTTGTCCCAACTTCCTTGGAACTCCAAGGCACATGCCCTCAACATGTCCTCCAAAATCTGAATCACCCGTTCAGATTGCCCATCCGTTTGAGGATGGAATGCCGTGCTAAACCTCAACTTTGTTCCCATGGATTCCTGGAACTTAGGCCAAAACCGTGATGTGAACCGTGGGTCTCTATCCGATACTATCGTAACTGGAACCCCATGCAGTCTCACAATCTCATCTGTGTACAACTTGGCCAGTCGTTCAAGCGTATAAGTAGTGTTGATAGGAAGGAAATGAGCACTCTTGGTTAACCTATCAACCACCACCCACACTGCATCATAGTTCCTAACCGTGCGTGGTAGACCTACCACGAAGTCCATAGTAACATGCTCCCACTTCCATTCTGGGATGGTAAGTGGCTGTAATAACCCCGCTGGGTGCTGATGCTCTGCCTTAACCTGCTGACAGGTAAGGCAACGACTCACATATTCTGCAATCTCTCTCTTCATCCCTGACCACCAGTAACTTTCCTTCAAGTCCCGGTACATCTTTGTTCCACCTGGGTGCATGGCATACGCAGATGAGTGAGCCTCCTCAAGGATAGATTTCCGGAGCCCCTCATCTGACGGCACACACACTCGCTCCTTGAATAGTAGGAGTCCATCTTCTCTATCACGGAAACCCTCGACGGGTCCCACCAACATTCGTTCCCGAATTTTCTGAATTTCCTCGTCATTGCCTTGACGCGTCCTGATTTCGTCTAATAAGGTGGGTCTCACCTCAAATCTGGCCAATAGAGCCCCATTCGTGGATACCTCCACGCGTGCCCTCAATGCTTGCAAGCATGAGAGTAAAACCCCCGATGAACTCTTCCTACTAAGAGCATCGGCCACCACGTTAGCCTTCCCTGGATGATACTCGATGATCAAGTTGTAATCCTTGATCAACTCCATCCATCTTCTCTGCCTCATGTTCAACTCTTTCTGAGTGAACACATACTTCAAACTTTTGTGATCAGTATAAATGTGACACACCTCACCGTAGAGGTAATGCCTCCAAATCTTCAAAGCAAACACCACAGCTCCTAGCTCAAGGTCATGTGTGGGGTAATTCACTTCATGCTTCCTCAGTTGCCGAGAAGC